CAGTACCCAGGGAGACATAGACCCTGGCAGCCCTATTATCTATGTCATTTTAGGCACGCTGGCACTGCTTGAGGAAGACAAAATAAAATGGTCGATCATGTTCGATCACCAGCTGATAGGACTGACCAAGATGGACATGACAGTAAGGGTTGCGTGTCACTTCTCTGTGCTTCTATCGAATATTACACTAGGACCGCTCTAATAAACGTCGTTTCATTCAACGTATTTTTCGTTGTAACGTCGTCGAGAACAAAATACCACTGTCACTCAGGTGTCAGCTATATTATAAGAACTAGTCAACGTGCTGAGGAAAATTTTACAATTTGCTCAACAACGGATGTTTTCGTTTATTTTCTTTATAAAATTTAATAATTAATGATTTAATACGTTCGAAACGCGGGCGTGAGTGCATTATAAAAAATTTCAACGTGTTCGTTTAACGTCGTTTTGGTGATTAAAGTCGCGGTTTTTCGGGAACCTAACTGTACAATGTTCTACTAACGACATCAGTCTACTCTGCGAGTTGATAGTGTAATGTCGTTAATTTAATGTAAGATTTCGTGCGAGCATGTGATTGTAACGTTGAACAGATCGAATCAAATCAAAATCGCTGTCAAGCGGTTCGCGTCCGAAGACGGCCAACCTGCGTTCGCGACCTCGCTGTGACCTTGACGTGACCTCGCCACGACCTCGCCACGACCTTGACTTGCTCTTGCAGGGCGACGGCAACGAGGAGGTGGTCGTCTGCTCGTGGGACGGCCAGACGTACATCGTCGACTACGATCGCAAGGTCGTCCGCTTCCAGTTTGCCGAGAACGTGTGCGCGTTCATAGCAGGTGCTGCCGCCACCGCGTCTCGGACGACGCTCTCGCTGTTTATCGATTGAAAGAAAAACTGGCGTGACGCCTCCCCGTACCCCCGCTACTGCCTTCTCCGTCCCCCCCCGCTGCTCCCCTGATCCCCACTGCTCCGGTCTCTCCACTGCTGCCTCTCCCCCACGCTGCTCTGACCCCGCTTTCCCCCCGCTGCTGTTCCCCCCCGCTGCCTCCCCTCCCATGCTGCTCTGACCCGCTTCTCCTAGTTCCTTGTGTCTACGCCTTGCCTCCGCCTCTTGTTATGGAGCGGCACTTCGTGGGTGGCCAGGGTCGTGGTCAAATATTGTGGATAATTATATCAGGGGTGATAATGACAAATTTGTCGATCTTCTACCCCAATTATGATGAATACATATGTATTGTGCATGTCTATATATACATACAACATATGTATCCTATATAAAATGTGTATGTATATATATGTATACAACACAAAGGTATATTCAGGTAATATATATATGCAGAAAATAGGGTAAAGTAAAGCTTGGTCTATACGAAATTTCTCTTATCCGAGTTAAGAACGTCTCGCGGTTAGCTTAACCCTTGTTAAGAATGCACAGCGTTATATGCGAGAGTACATCCAATCAAGGCTTAGCAGCTTCTGGCACGTAAGTTTATCTTTAGATGTTCTTCTTTCGTGGTGTCCGGGGTTCCGTTTCCGGTGTTATACAGAAATGATAAAAATATTTTACAAAATGGACGATCGCATTATAAACGTAATGCTGTAAACCTTGGATTAAAACTGAGAAACTGCAGTACTGTAAAGATGTAAAAATCAAAAACGGATGCCATATACAAGTGCCCGATGTAAATACGCATTCATATTGCGCCTAGTTCGCAGGGTTAAGGAACTTGCCGCTATCTTGGTTAACACCGTCTATTCGACGTATCGCCAACACAGATCTGTACTGGGTTTAGCCTGAATCGCCGGAAGGTTAAGCTAAACCGGGTTAAGGGCTTACCCTGGTTTATCCTTACCGAGATAGACCTCATCGTGGACGCTATTTCCCGAGATATAAATCTTTGTAATAGCCGAGTGCTTAACAGATGTAGACTATAGTACATATTATAATATATAATATTCAAAATATATATAATGCGAAATGGTCTTGGTGTCAACTGTTTGCTGCAATCTCAGGTCAGTATTCGACGACGATGTGAATAGTGCTGCTGTCTGGCTGATATGCACACATCAACAACAACATCTACTTACCACAACATCCTGGCCCTCAGCCTGTGGCAGTCGTAACCTTCTAGAGGTGATGGCAGAAGAGCAAGGATTGTGGGCGATCGCTCTCTGCGCTACAATGGATTGTAAGTGGCGCCATCTGCACGACCAAGGTTCGCTTGTTTCGAAAGGCAGAACTGTTTTCTTCTTTCTCTGTTTTCTGAAAAGAACGTGTTTCTTCTTTTTCGTAAAAGGGTGTGTTTGTGAGCGTGTTTCGCAGTCGCCTGCCGTTTCAAGAAGAGTAAGTTTATTATTCCACTCTGTGGATATTCGAACTTTATTTTCGGTTTCTTCGTTTTTCGCAGGTCCAGTCCGTCGGAACTGAAGCAGCTGTCGGTTGTGCCTCTTGGACGCACCACGTTAGTTCTCCCCGCCAGGTCCCGGCCAGGGTCTCTCCCTGGCCAGTTCCCCGCCGGGTGTCTCTTGCCAGGGTTTCTCCTGCCCGTCTCCCGCCAGTCTTTTCCGCCAGGGTCTTTCCCGCAGGGGTCTCCCTGCCTGGTCGTCCCTGGGCAGTCTCCCCGCCAGGGTTCACTGCCGGTCTCTCCCGCAGGGTCTCCCTGCCCGGGTTCTCTTCCCGCGCCAGGGTCTCTCCTGCCCAGTCTCCCGCCAGGGCTCCCCGCCAGAGTCTCTCTCCTGCAGTCTCTCCCTCCAGTCTCTCCCTGCCAGGGTCTCGCCTGCCAGGTCTCCCTGCCAAGGGTTCCTGCCAGTCTCCCGCAGGGTCTTCCCTGCCCGGCGGCTCTCCTGCCAGTCTCCCGCCAGGTCTCTCCCTGCCAGGGTCTCCCCGCCAGGGGTCTCTCCTGCCAGGGTTTCAAGCCAGGGTCTTTCTTGCCAGGGTCTCCCACCAGGGTCATCTCCCTGCCAGGGTCTCCCCACAGGGTCTCTCCTCCAGGTCTCTGCCTGCCAGTCTCTCCCTGCCAGGGTCTTCCCTGCCAGTCTCTCCCTGCAGGGTCTCTCCCTGCCAGTCTCTCCCTTGCAGGGTTCCCGTCAGGGTCTCTCCCGCAGGGTCTCTCCCTGCCAGTCTCTCCCTGCCAAGGTCTCGTCCCTGCCAGAGGTCTCTTCCCGCGCCAGGTCTGCTCCCGCAAGGTTCCTTGCCGATGGTCTCCCTGCCAGCGGTCTTCCCTGCCTGGGGTCTTCCCTGCAGGGTCTCTTCCCTTGCCAGGCGTCTCTTCTTGCCAGTGTCTCGCCCCGCCAGGTCTCCTGCAGTCTCCCGCCAAGCGTCTCTCCCTGCCAGAATTCTCTTGCCCGCCAGGTTCTCTCCCTGCAGGGTCTCTCCCTGCCAGGGTCTCTCCCCGCCCAGGTCTTTCTCCCTGCCGTCTCTCTGCCCAGCGGTCTCTCCCTGACCGGGTCTCTTCCCCCAGGCCGTCTCTCCCTGCCAGGCTCCCCGCCAGGGTCTCTCCCGTGCAGGGTCTCTCCCCGCCAAGGGTCTCTCGCTGCCAGTCTCCCCCGCCAGGGTCTCTCCCTGCCAGGGTCTCTCCCTGCCAGTCTTTTCCCTGCCCGGTCTTCTCCCTGCCAGGGTTCTCTCCCTGCCAGTCTCCCTGCCAGCGCGTCTCCCGCAGAGTCTCTTTTCCCTGCAGTCTCCGCCAGCGGTCTCTCGCCTGCAGTCTCTCCCTGGCAGGTCTCTCCCTGCCAGTTTCTCCACCAGTCTTCTCCGCCAACGGTCTCTCCCTGCCAGGGTCTCTCCCCGCCAGGGTCTCCGCTGCCAGGCGTCTTCTCCCTGCCAGTCTCCCCGCAGGGTCTCTCGCCCGCCAGTTCCGGTACTCCCTGCCATGGGTCTCTCCCGGCCAGAGGTCTCTCCCCTGCCGTCTCTCCCTGCCAGGAGTCTCTCCCTGCCAGTTTCTCCACCAGTCTTTCTTGCCAAGTTCTCCCTGCAGGGTCTCTCCCCGCCACAGGGTCTCTCCCTGCAGGGTCTGCTCCCCTGCCAGTCTCCCCGCCAGGGTCTCTTCCCGCCAGGTCTCTCACCCACCAAGGCGTCTCTCCCTGCCAACGGTCTCTCCCCGCCGGGTCTCCCTGCCAGTGCCTCTCCCTGCCAGTCTCCCCGCCAGGGGTCTCTCCCTGCAGGTCTCTCCCGCGCTAGGGGTTTCTCCCTGCTGGTCTCTCCTCCAATCTCTCCCATGCCAGGGTCTCGCCTGCCAGGGCCTCTCCCGCCCAGGGTCTCCCTGCCAGAGTCTCCCGCAGGTCTCTTCGCCCTGCCAGGCGTCTCTCCCGCTAGCGGTCTCTTCCCTATGCCAGGGTCTCTCCCGGCCAAATCTCTCCCGCCAGGGTCTCTCCCTGCCAGGCGTCTCCCCCGCCAGGTCTCTTCCCTGCCAGGGTCTTGCTCCCCGCTAGGGTCTCTCCTGCCTGCGCGTTTCTCCCTGCCAAGCTCTCCTCGCCAGTGGTCTCCCTGCCAGGGCCTCTCCCCGCCGGGTTCCCTGCCAGAGTCTCCCCGCAGGGTCTCTCCCTGCCAGCGGTCTCTCCCCGCTAGGGTCTCTCCTGCCAGGGTCTCTCCCTGCCAATCTCTCGCCTGCCAACTTCCCTGCCAGGGTCTCTCCCTGCCAATAATCTTCCCTGCCTGGGTCTTCTCTCCCCCGATGCCCAATCTCTCCCTGCCTTGGCGTCTCTCCCGCCAATTCTCATCCCCTGCCAGGGTCTCTCCCTGCCAATCTCTCCCTGCCTGGGTCTCTGGCCCTGCCAATCTCTCCCTGCTGCGGTCCTCTCCCTGCCAATCTCTCCCTGCCTGGAGTCTCCCCCTCCCTGCCTGGGTCTCTCCCTGCCTGGGGTTCTCTCCCTGCCATCTTTCCCTGCCTGGTCTCTCGCCTGCCCAATCTCTCCGCTGCCTGGGTCTCTCCCTGCCAATCTTCCCTGCCTGCGGTCTCTCCCGTGGCCAATCTCTCCCTGCCTGGGTCTTCTCCCGCCAGTCCCCGCCAGGGTCTCTCCCCTGCCAGAGTCCCCTCCATGCCGGTTCTGCCTGGACAGATCAGAGGTTCGGAGTGACGAGCAAAGATCGTGAAGGCTGGCCATGCCTTCCTAGGCAGGGTCGAGGAATCGTTCGTCGCTAGCTTAGCGCGAGGCCAACATCGTGATCGTGTGATCATGTGTTATTCACCAGTAAGATCGAATCGTTTGCTCAAGTCGATCGAGTAATCTGAATTATTCGGTGATCCGATTTTTGGAATAAATGTTGCTGTGCACCGCGAGCCATTAGCGATCGTTTTGTTTATTGGTTGCGCACTCTTCGTGGTCCGACATGGAGAAAATTCCCACGACCGTACACCGAAAGGGACTTATCATAACACGAAGCCCTGTACCACAATTTGCCTATCCAGGCATAACATTATTGATTCGCACACCTTTATGCACTGACAAGCAATTAGTCGGTCGGCGCAACGCTTATTATCTTGATTACACTGGTGAACTCCACAGATGAACCAATATAGGCAAAAATCCACTAACTACTACGCATATAAGATAATCCTGAGTCATCCTATAACTAAACGACACGATCTAACATACTTAATTTTTTGGACTTTATAAAGGAGGATATTCCTGGGTAAGCAGTATTGTCACCCTGATCACAGAAATCTACATATCACTTGCCACTTGCACTTGTCACTCCAGCAGCATTGCAGTGGCGTAGGGCCTAACCTAAGTCTCATGAGCGTAGTATGCACGTGCCTTGGTGCGTGACTTGAAGGGCGCACCTGCAGCCAATTTCCTATTAAAAAGTCGGACCACAGCCATTCTCCGAAACTAGCTGAAACAAAAATGATTTTTTTTATGTACAAAATACG